GTTGAGCCATTACTCCAGCACCCCCAGTTTTTTGAGAGGTCTCATGTATACCAGTATGGCTTCAAATTCATGAGCCTCCTGCTTCAGTATCCTAGGTGGTGTGTGCCACTATGGATGGCTCTTACTGAAATCTTTGAAGAACCTCCGGCTTCATACAAATAGCTATTTGCAAAAAGGTACTGTTTTTTAATGGTTAATTTAATATTTAAATTTCTTCTTAATACATTGCAAAACTTCACAAAGGTTAGTTGAAATGTGGAATCTGAAATCATCTTGAGGAACTTAATGTTGCATTAAGGGGGCTGGAGAGATGGCTCAGCAGTTAAAGATATTTGTTGCCTTTGCAGAGGATTTGGTTCAGTTTCCAGCAATCACGTGTGGCTTGAAACCATCTGTAACTCCAGTTCCAGGGATTCAACACCTCTTCTAACCTGTGCAAGGTTCTTCACCCATGTGGTACACATAAACGCTCAGGCACATATGCACACATAATATTAAAAACAAATTCATTGATTTGCTTTGTATTGTGGAAACTCCTCTTACTCATGCATGCTTTTTAATATTATGCATAAAGCGCTTTGAAAATATTAATACATTGTCTTAGTTACTTTTCTGTTGCTGTGAAAGACATCAGGTCCAAGGCACTTTACAGAAGAGTTAGTTTGTAGACCAGAGTTCCAGGACAGCCAGGGCTACACAGAGAAACCATCTCGAAAAACAAACAAAAAAAGCTGAGCTGAATTGAAGCTCTATGCGAATGAACAAAACTTGTTAGTGGAAGTCTTTGCTGATTAAAGATAAGGTGACAAGTACCTTTTTTATTGGGTAATCCTCAAGATTTGCGTTTTTAGATTTTTTTAGACTCTTTGTTTTCTGCTTGGGGTTTAAATTTAGCATGGAATTCTGCTGTTTTCAGGAGAGGATTCACTTCTTTATTCAACTGTGTTTGGTGTTCGTGAGCCTAGACCTTCTAGTTATTTTTCCTGAATGTGTAAATTGACAGCGTGATGCTGTGATGACAAAAAAAAAAAAAAAAAAAAAAACTTAGGGGAGAAAGAAGCTTTCTTTGGTTTACAAAGTTCCAGGATATAGTCCATTATTATTGGGAAGTCAAGACAGGAACTCAAACAGTTAGTTATGGTGCATCTACAAATAAGAAGAGGTGAGTTGGGCGTTGGTGGCGCGCACTTTTAATCCCAGCACTCGGGAGGCAGAGGCAGGCAGATCTCTGTGAGTTGGAGACCAGCCTGGACTACCAAGCGAGTTCCAGGACAGCCTCCAAAGCCACAGAGAAACCCTGTCTCGAAAAACCAAAAAAAAAAAAAAAAAAAAAAAAAAAAAGAAGAAGAAGAGGTGAATGCATACATTTGTGCTGTGTGATTTCACTCAGCTTGACCTCTCCATTTGCACAGTTCAGGACCCCGAGTTTAGGGAGTGGTGCCACTTCCTGTGGTCTGTGTCTTCCCATAGCCATTAACTTAAGACATTCTCTCACAGACATGCCCAGAGGCCAAATCAATGTAATCAGTCCCTTAGTGATTACATTGTTCCAGTGTAATCTGTTATATCAACCTGACAAAGCTAACCACCAGGAGGCTAGTAGGGGAGGGGAGGGCTCAGTGATTAAAAGTGCTTGCTGCTCTTAACTGTTGAGCCACTTCTCCAGTCCATATATATATGTATTTGAGACAAGTTTTCTCTGTGTAGCTCTGGCTGTCTTTGAACTCTCTATATAAAAGTTCCCAGGTTGACCTCAAACTCAGAGATCCTCCTGTGTCTGTTCCCAGCAATAAAATAAATCTTAAACTGTTGTGCCCAAGTTGCAAAGTCCCCAGAGACCACCAGGAAGACAGACCCACTAAACTGCAAAAGCAAGGTTTAATGATTGTTCATCCACCCATGACAGGGTCCCCGTCTGGCTAGCTGTTGCAGCAGCCTCCGGAGGGACTGAAGTTCCCTGTCTACTGCTAGGTTTTATAGACAAAAGTTACAGGATTACATCAGTAGGTATGGGCTGGCTTCTGATTGGTTGACATTTGGGAACAATTAGGAGCATTTATCGATAGTTTTCAGAACTATATCTTGGAGACTACAGGGGAGGTTTTGGCCCCTCCTGGAGTTTCTTTTGTGGCCAAACAGTTCCCATGAACCAAGCATCTAGGAGACTGGGGGGTGGGGTCTGGAGTTTCTTTGTGTTCAGTTTTGGCCCCAGACTCCAGGAGGCCAGAGGTTCTGGGGTTTCCTTGCCTCAGACGCCTACGTGTCTTTTCTGTAGCCTGTCATGGCTGCTAAAGCAGGGGCTGAGTGAGGGTCTGGTCCCTTTATTTCTAAATTAGTTTAGTTTACCCCTTTTAAAGCAAAGCTAACCATCTCACAGTCCTTGTGTAGGGTGTTGGGGGAGGATGATGACTGCCGGCTCCTTGGTGGAGCTGGGGAAAGAACGGAAGGTCTAACTGTTCTCTGAGCAGACACTCAGCCAGTTCTATTTTGGGGCCCATTCTTGCTCTTTTAGATTTATTTATTTGTGTATTTTATATATATATGAGTACTCTGTCTGCATGTTTGCCTGCACACCAGAAGAGGAAATTAGATCTCATTATAGATGGTTGTGAGCCCCCATATGGTTTCTGAGAATTGAATTCAGGACCTCTGGAAGAGCAGCCAGTACTCTTAACTTCTGAGCCATCTCTCTAGTCCTTGGGGATCAATCTTGAATTTTTCCTTTAGAGATACATTGTTCCTCTTCATTCCTTCAGGGTACAGTAATATGAATCATATTGCTTTTGAGTGGACTTCCTTTCTTTAGTCACATGTTTAGTTTTCTGGGATCCACCAATTCAAATTTGTCTTGTTTGTTTTACTTTATTGATTTTGTTGCTATTCTCTGTTGTCTCCCCTCTGAATCTCTTCACTCTTCTGTCTAAATATTTGTTTTATTATCATTTAGAACCGATTTATCGAGGAAATAAAGAACCACATGTAGCTTCTTTCCTACGTTCTACCAACTATGTTCAGGCTGCTTTGTTAGCTGTTTTCTAAAGAAAACTGTGAAAGTTGGACCAGCAGTAATTGTATCACCTGGGAACTTGCTAGAAATGGAGACTTTTAGACCCCAAGGCATATCCAGTAACTTGTGTTGTAGATTTTACTTTGTGTGAGTTATTTCGTTAAGTGGAAAAGTAGAAGAATTTTAAAAATTTAGTAGTTATAATTTCAACGGTAGCTAGTTTTATAAGCTGAATCAAAACCTTTTCAAACAAGATAGGTATTAGCTAGGGAAGTGGCTTGCTGACTTACATGCACAAGGCTCTGGGTTTGATCTCTAGTGCTACCAAATGTTTCTTGTGTGTATAATAGCAAGTTCTTCCCCAGATAGTAATTTCAGCAGTCTTATAGTTCTGATTCACACCCCTCCAACAAACCAACACACAAACAAAACCTTCAAGGCCTAAGTATGTATCAGTGTAGTGCCTGCCTAACAGGTTCAAGGCCCTAGGTTCAGTTTCTAGTATTACAAAACAAAAAATAGCTTTATTGCAGTAAAAATTACATGTAACACGATAAATAAAAGGCCCAGAGACAGATATTGTGGTTCAAACTTCAAGTTGAAAAGTAAAGTAGTGAAGCACTAGCTCTTACCACTGCCTCAGACTGAATGGGCTGATCGTGCTGTGTAGGAGTGAACCCTACTAAGCTATCCACCCATGAGGGCGGAGACAAGTAAATTAGCACAGGTAGATAGAAAAGGAAGTGAAAGGAAAAGGACCCTCTCTTTTTCTCTTGGAAGCCAGCCACACTTCTAACTCCTAGCTTGTGTGACACTCTCTCTGGTAAATAAATATATTGTTTTCCCTATAGCATTGACTATCATCTATAGTGCTGCCTCTCCTCAGCATGGCTGTAGAATCCTGAGACTGAATGTCTTCCTGTCCTCAATGTGGCTGGAGAATGAATGTTTGGTACTGAGTCCTTGTTGGCAGGCTGCATATTGCAGTTACAAGGAAACAATCAATCATTTTACTATTTACCTTGAAAGTTAATCTTATAAGGAATCTTAAAGGAATCACAAACCTAAACTTTCATATATAAAGAACAGTAAGCTAAGCCAGGAGTTAGTGGTGCATGCCTTTATTCCCAGCAGTCAGGAGGCAGAGGCAGGTGGATCTCTGTGAGTTCAAGACCAGCCTGGTCTACAGAGCAAGTTCCAGGACAGCCTCCAAAATAATACAGAGAAACCCTGTCTCGAAAAAAACAAAAACAAACAAACAAGTCAACTGTACTTCAGATCCTAGGGTGCAGGCCCATTTATCAATAGTTTCTGATATCAGGAGATTGAGGGCAGGAATAAGTACAAGGAATTAACCATCCCTTTTGATCACCAGTCAAACCTAGAAAAGAAAGTATGGCAGCTAGCAACAATTGGGCTGTTTTGAATTTTTGACCCTAACCTCAAGACACCTCTCCTTTGTGATTTGGGACATTTCTCTCTGACAAGTCCTTGGACTGAAATTCTTGTCACTAGGACACTTGCCCTTCTCTCCCCTATCCCTGCTCTTGCTCCCTACATGTTCTCCGCTCACTCTTGGAGCTTGCTCTGTCTCTTTTGCCCATCTTCTTACTCTGCTCCTTGAATCTCTTTTCTTCTTCAAACTCAGACATTCCATTAAGGCTAGAAGTCTTACTGCAAATGGAACTTGTACTACTGAGAGCCTGAAAAGCCCAGCATGCATTAGTTAGATCTTTACTTGTGTTTTGAAGATGTTAAGTTTTACTGAAGTAAAAGTTTTTTTTTTTGAAGTAAAAGTATTCTATGAGGAGGAAAAACCTTTACCTTTCTGGCAGCTATTCATAGTGTTTCAAAAGTGCCCCCTGGTTACATTAACATGAGAGCTGGTTTGACTGGCAGTTATTTGAATCTTATTGCAAATAGGTTAAGGAGCTATTCCTGGGTGGAAAATGAATGATTTACATATACAAAATAACATAAATTTCTCTTCTAGCTCTTCCACCAAAGCCGCCTAAGCCAATGACTTCCGCAGTTACAAATGGAGTGAAGGACAGTTTCATTTCTCTTCAAGATGCAGAATGGTACTGGGGAGATATTTCCAGGTAACTGAAATGCTACCCTAATTGAATGCAGTGATTTTCTTTGATTCTGAGAGTTAGTAGTTAGACATTTTAATGCTCTACTGATTTTCATTTAAAGATTACCATTTTAAAAATTGTATATGGGAAACCTTAAAAAGTTTATTAATCCCAGCACTCGGGAGGCAGAGGCAGGTGGATCTCTGTGAGTTCGAGACCAGCCTGGACTACCAAGTGAGTTCCAGGACAGCCTCCAAAGCCACAGAGAAACCCTGTCTCGAAAAACCAAAAAAAAAAAAAAAGGTTTATTTAGGGGTGGGTAAGATGGCTCAGAGGTTTAAAGATGCTTGTAGCCATGCCTGATTACCTGAGTTCAGTCCTCTTCATCCTCATGGTGGAAGAAGAAAACTGACTCCAAAAGTTGTTCCCTAACCTTTGTCCGCAAACATGCACAAGTATGCACACACCAGCATGTGCACACACAAACACACAAAAGAAAAAATTTAAAGAGTCTTTAGGGGGCTGGAGGGATAGCTCAGCTGTTAAAGGCCAGGCTCACAACTACAAAGAACCTTTAGGACCTGGAGTAATGACTCAGTGGTTCAAAGAGCACTTATTGCTCTTCCAGAGGTTTGATTTCCAACACCTACATGGTGTTGGAAACATACATACACACACACACACACACACACACACACACACACACACACACACACACACACACACCCCTATAACTCTAGTTCGAGAGGATACAATGTCTTCTTCTGGTCTCCACAGACATGTGGTGAGCAAACTTACAGGCAGAACACCCATACATATTTAAAAACATTCCTTTTTTTAAAAAAGTGTCATTCTTTCATTCTCATGACAAAATATCAGAAAGATCTTTGGGTTATTGGTGTGATTATACTTTTTCATACTGTGTCAGGGGTGAGCTTTTGAGTAGATGATCCTTATATGTTTAAGATAGTTACATATTATTTACATAATAAAAGATACTTGTTTTAGGTACTTACATTCCCTTTACCTCCTTTTTTTTTTTCTTCAATTTTAGATAGGCTCTCATTCTGAAGTCTTGGCTGGCCTGAAACTTGCTATGTCACTCACAGAGATCCCCTTCTGCCTCACCTGTGTGTGTCAGCATGCCTGGTCTTCCTTTACTTTTCTCTGTAGTCCGGTCAGGGCTTGAATTTGTGATCCTCCTCAGCACCACCTGGCTTGGCTCTTTACCTTTTTCTCCCTAAGGCAGTGGTTCTAAAATCTTTGCACAGGAGTCAGTTGAGGTGGAGCCCAAGAATCTTTGAGGCTTGTCTTGCTTTGTAATCGGTGCTGACCTAGAACCATTGCAAACTTTTGATGTCTTGCCTCGGCCTTTTTAATGCTAGGGTTACAGGCAAGTTCCACCATACCCATCCTAGATGATTTTGATGCAGTTCTTTTTGTTTTTTTTTCATTTTTTGAGACAGATTCTGTCTTTGTAGACCTCGCTGTCCTAGAACTTGCTCTATAGACCAGGTTGTCCTCAAGCTCACAGAGATCTGCCTCCACCTTCTGAGTGCTGGAACTAGAGGCATACACCACTACACCTGGTTTGAAGCAGTTTTTATTATTATTATTATTATTATTATTATATATCTTTTTTTTAGTTTTGAAACTACATTTCCTTTCTTCCCTTTCCTCCCTCCAACTCCCATATATCCTTGCATACTCTCTTTCAAATTCATGACTTTTTTTTGTAATTTCTTTATATAGCTCATTCTCAGAAATAGACATCCAAGACAGATCTGCTTTTTTTGTGTAAAATGTGGATTTGGAAAATTTTGAATACAGAGAGGGAATATATGTATACTCATATTTTTAAATTTATTTTACATACCAACCACAGTTCCCCTCCCTCCTCCCATTCCCTCCCCCTCCCTCCTTTCTAAACCACCCCTATCTACTCCCCAGAAAGGGGCAGGCCTCCCATGGGAGTCAACAAAGTATGGCATATCAACGTGAGGCAGAACCAAGCTCCTACCCCCTGCATCAAGTCTGAGCAAGGCATCCCACCCTAGGGAATAGATTCCAAAGAGCCAGCTCAAGCACCAGGGATAGATCCTGGTCCCACTGTTACACGACAGCCACCCACATGCAGAGGGCCTAGGTCAGTCCCATGCAGGCTCCCTAGCTATCAGTCTAGAGTCTGTGAGTTTCCATGAGCTCAGGTCCCATGAGCTTGGGTCAGTTGTCTCTGAGTTTCCCCACCACGATCCCCCCCAATACAATCCCTCCTCCTTTTCTTCACCTGGACTCCTGAACCTCGGCCCAATGCTTGCCTGTGGGTCTCTGTGTCTGCTTCCATCAATTATTGGATGAGGTTCTATGATGACAATGAGGGTAGTCACCAATCTGATTACAGGAGAAGGCAAGTTCAGGCACTCTCTCCACTATTGCTAGGAGTCTTAGCTGGGGTCATCCTTGTGGATTCCTGGGAGTTTCCCTGGCACCAGGTTTCTCCCTAACCCCATAATCGCTCCCTCTATCAAGATATCTCTTTGAAACTCCCTCTCCGACCCTCCCTCAACTTGACCATCCTGATATATCATGTTCCTATCCCCATCCCCTTCTCCTTACTTCCCCTGTCCCTAGTTTACCCAGGAGGTCTCATCTATTTCCCCTTCCTGGTGTGATCCATGTGTCCCTCTTTGGGTCTTCCTTATTACCTAACTTCTCTGGGGCTGTGGATTGTAGCCTGGTTGTTCTTTGCTTTACATCTAATATCCACTTATGAGTGAGTGCATGTGGTGTTTGTTTTTCTGGTCTGGGTTACCTCACTCAGGTTGGTTTTTTCTAGTTTTATCCATTTGCCTGCAGATTTCATGATGTCATTGTTTTTGACTACTTGAGCAATATTCTATTGTGTAAATGTAACACAGTTTCTCTTTATCCATTCCTCAGTTGAGGAGGGTCTAGGTTGTTTCCAGGTTCTGGCTATTATGAATAATGCTGCTATGAACATTGTTGAGCAAGTGACCTTGGGGTATGATTGAGCTTCTTTGGGTATATGCCCAAAAGTGGTATTACTGGGTCTTTTTTTTGTTTGTTTGTTTTTGTTTTTGTTTTTACGAGACAGGGTTTCTCTGTATTGTTTCGGAGGCTATCAGTCCAGCCCGGCCTCGAACTCACAGAGATCCGCCTGCCTCTGCCTCCCGAGTGCTGGGATTAAAGGCGTGCGCCACTACCACCCGGCATTACTGGGTCTTGAGGTAGATTGATTCCCAATTTTCTAAGAAACCACCATACTGATTTCTAAACTGGCTGTACAAGTTTTCACTCCCACCATCAGTGGAGAAGTGTTCCCCTTACTCCATAACCTCTCCAATATAAGCTGTCAGTGTTTTTGATCTTAACCATTCTGACAGGTATCTCAGAGTTGTTTTGATTTGCACTTCTCTGTTAACTAAGAATATTGAACAATTTTTTTTCTTTTCTTTTCTTTTTTGGTTTTTCGAGACAGGGTTTCTCTGTATTGTTTTGGAGGCTGTCCTGGAACTCACTCTGTAGACCAGGCTGGCCTGGAACTCACAGAGATCCGCCTGCCTCTGCCTCCCGAGTGCTGGGATTAAAGGTGTGGGCCACCAATGCCCGGTGCTGAGCAATTTCTTAAATGTCTTTTGATCATTTGAGATTCTTCTGTTGAGAATTTTCTGTTTAGGTCTGTACCCCATTTTTTGGGGGGGTTTTATGAGACAGGGTTTCTCTGTTTTGTTTTGGAGGCTGTTGGTCCAGCCCGGCCTCGAACTCACAGAGATCCGCCTGCCTCTGCCTCCTGAGTGCTGGGATTAAAGGCATGCGCCACCACCGCCTGGCTCTGTACCCCATTTTTAAATTGGATTATTTGGTATTTTGATGTCTAGTTTCTTGAGTTCTTTATATATTTTGGGGAGCAGCCCTCTGTCAGATGTGGGGTTAGTGAAGATCTTTTCCCATTTTGTAGGCTGCCATTTGGTCTTATTGCCCATGTCCTTTGCCTTACAGAAGCTTTTCAGTTTCAGAAAGTTCCATTTATTAACTGTTGATTTCAGTGTCTGTGCTACTGGTATTGTATTCAGGAAGTAATCTCCTGGGCCAATGTGTTCAAGGCCACTTCCCACTTTCTCTTCACCCTTTCTGTCAGTTTCAGTGTAACTGGCTTTATGTTTGTCTTTGATACACTTGGACTTGATTTTGGTGCTTGATGATATGATATGGATCTCTTTGCAGGCTTCTACATGTAAGCATCCAGTTATGCCAGCACCATTTGTTTAAGATGCTTTCTTTTTTCCATTGTATAATTTTGGCTTCTGTGTTGTGGATTTATGTCAGGGTCTTTGATTTGATCCCACTGACCCACATGTCTGTTTTTATGCCAATACCAACATGTTTTCATTTCAGCTCTGTAGTAGAACTTGAAGTCAGGGATGGTGATGCCTCTGGAAGTTCCTTTATTGAACAGGATTGTTTTAGCTATCCTGGGTTTTTTGTTTTTCCATATGAAGTTGAGTATTGTTCTTTTGAGGTCTGTGAAGAATTGTGTTGGGATTTTGATGGGGATTGCATTGAATCTGTAGACTGCTTTTGTTACAATTTGCCAGTTTTACCATGTTAATCTTACCTATCCAAGAGCATGGGAAATTTTTACATTTTCTGATATCCTTTTCAATTTTTTTCTTCAAAGATTTAAAGTTCTTGTCATACAGGTCTTTCACTTGTTTGGTTAGAGTTACCCATATATATATATATATATATATATATATATATATATATATATATATATATATATATATATTTTTTTTTTTTTTTTTTGGTTTTACGAGACAGGGTTTCTCTGTATTGTTTTGGAGGCTGTTGGTCCATCCTGGCCTCGAACTCACAGAGATCCGCCTGCCTCTGCCTCCCGAGTGCTGGGATTAAAGGCGTGCGCCACCACCGCCCGGCAACCCCAATATATTTTATGTTATGTTATTTGTGGCCATTGTAAAGAGTGTTTCTTTTTCTTTTTC